ACACACACACACACACGCACACTCGCAAGACTTCAGCACACACACAGAGGCACCTTACCAGGTGGCTTCCTCATTCGTGAAGTAAGTGATTGGAGCATCCGAGCCCACGGCCAGTAGAAGTTCCAGCTGGGGGTCAGGATGAAAGGTGGACGGCCAGCCCAACGGCGTGGCAGTCTGCAACCCAACCTCCTTGGCCTGTCTGACGAGTTCCTCGTGTTGGCGGCGCGAAAGCGCCCTGAAGAGAGGTATCCAACAGGGCTCCACTTGCAGACTGGCCACATCAGGCTCCTGCATGTCTAGCTGGTGGACGAGCTGATCTCGGAGCTCCAGCGCATGACTGCGGGAGAACCTGCGAATAAAATCAACATGTGTGTGAGTTCCTCCAATCAGAAATCACATAAAAGGTAATAGAGTACCCAGAAGCAAACAAGGGAGAGGCCTAAACAAGTTGAAATAAAACTACCGAAGATAGAAGAAGAAAAAAAACGGGAGTGGGGTGTGGTGGGGAAGTGAATGAGTTTTATCTCACACAACACCTGCTACAATAAGGAAATTTAAGGAAAATTGTTTTGACGTACTGCCAAGTGTAGGGTGTTGAGAGAAGGAAGAGGAATGTAAAATAAGAGCGATTGTCTCACCTCGGAGTCGTCGTAACTTAGATGGTTTGATACGATCTCACCAAATAAAAGAGTCAGTGATTAATACAGCGTGAGCTATACACTACCACAGCTTCTTTCACAACAAAGTTTCGCTGACAGTTGGGCCAAATAGAGGAAAACTAAAAGGAAATCAGGCCACAGCCATGGGCAGGTTTTCGATATTTTTTCTACTTCGGAGGAGGAGCCTCGAGCCTTATTTGCTCGGTGCCGCATTGGTCTTTCGTTAGAATGTGGAAAATGTCCTATGAAATTAGGATGAAGCGTCAAGCTGGTGCGAAACACGAAATAATAAGGAGATTAGCTTTTCGGGTGAGAGAAATAAAGATTATGACCAACAGACAGTCTTTAATACAAGATCCGTCCGAGGTATTCATGAATGACATACTACATCTTAAAAGCTGGGTTAGTCTGTACAACGAGAAATGAAACCGACGGTGTCTACAGATAATTATAGGCTTTGGTCAAGCCAGAGAACGAGCAAAAGGATCACTCTACCAGAGTTCTTTCGCGAGGTGTATGATGAGTAAACTCAATCATGTTGTCAGTGTGACTGCCCGCGAAGATAGCTAATATTCCCGATCGTGGCTGACAGGAAAACGGACTTAAGTTGGGCTTAAAAACACCAATTAATCAAAGGACCCGGATTCGATTTCTTGGTCGCCCTAACTCGGGGGAGGGGGAGTATGGTTGGCCGATGACGGCTAGAAATGACCACCACCACCGCCAGCCTTCGTTGTTATTGCCGGGATTCTTCTTCGATCGCTGTGCTAGTACCTTTGAAAGTTCTAGACTAAGTCCCAGGGCACAAGAGGACGATCACAAGCCGGAACATGATCGACGAAAGTTCCTCCTATGACAGAGAAAAACAACCTTTATTAGAAGCAAGTAATCTAAGGGGCAAACAAGAGAGTGGTAGTCTGTCGGACAGGTCCCTGCATACGAAATAGTTCAATAGGCAATCCTCTGTTAGAAACCGGGCATGGACTAGCACGTCCAAATTTCCTCCAAGTTCATGAGATTTGCCAACAAACAAAAGGCAAGCAATATGCAGAAACAGAGTACTAACATTATAATTTATCTTCCGCTCACCGGAATAAATTTGGAGATTTGCCGACGTTTCGGACAGTTGGGCCTGCTTTCCTTTGTCAAAGCGAATACTGACTGTTATCGATCAGCAGTTTAAAGTTGCGGCTGACATGATCATTTCTGGTTTATTAGTCATCGTCGGTTGGCTATATACAGCCTCCGATTTACAGGAGCTGCGATTTGAACCCGCATTATTTAGTCACCGAGCGGCCCATTGTGTATGTATCGTCAGTCGGCGACCATACGGCCAGAGAACGCAGGTTCAAGGCTCATGCTGTGTGAACCAGAGTTTG